CAGAATTCCCCAGCCAGCCATGCTGGCTGGGGAATTCTGGGAGTTGAAGTCCACACACCTTCAAGCGGCCAAAGTTGAGAAACACTGATACACGCTCTTAATATCTCCAAAAAACTAAACATCATGCCAATGAAATTCAGTCATGTTCCCCTAAATTTATAGTGGTCTGGTCCTAGGGTGCTGGGGGGTAGTCTGCATGCGACTCATATAGAGAAAAAAACTATACCCATATTATGTTGAACATAAAAACATTAAAAAGTCATGCTAGATCAGACCCAAAGCCTGCTGAGAGAGCATCCACATCTTCCAAATGACTGCAGCAGCACTCATGGGGGAAATGGGGATCAGAGTGATGCAAGCCTTGCTCCTTCTCTAGATGTGTCATGATGTCACACGCATGTCAAAAAGGTGTGTTCAAAGCTGTCTTGCTATTTGTTAAGGATACATCCTCATGACACAGCCTTCATCTCATCCCCAGTCTTTAGTTGAGGTCACTTAACTTCCTATTGAGCTGAACTTCTCGATGGAATCATCTAACAAACGAGAAGAGAAAGCATACTTTTGCTCCTGGGGCCTCCTTTTCTCTTTGGAAATTAAACTCCAGAGGCTGATGCAAAGGCTGAAAAGCATGGGTGTGTCTACCTCAGCCCCAAATGTCCCAGAAACTCTGCATTCAGCAAGGTTTGTGTCACGAGATGTTGGAAACAGCCCTTTAACATTGGATCAGCAATGAAGCTAGTGATAGAAATAGAAAGACACACACAGGGAGAACAGAGGGGATGGATCAGAAAGGAAGTAATATTAATGGGAAGGGTACAAGCTGAGAGACAAGTAGCTGAGATGGAGGTTGGATGGAGACCAGTGGCAAGGAGATGTAGCCGCATCTCCCAACATTGCCAAAAGGATACCTGATCACACCTCCTACGGTAATGAATGAATGGGTGGCAAAGCAGAACAGATTTTACACATGTTAAGGTTGTCTGTGGGTAATGTTAGAACAGGGAGAAAAATACTGTTTTTATACCAGTACAGCTAGGATGACTTATGCCTGCCTCATTCATGGGCTGAGGACATGATAAAAGCAACATCATGAGGACAAGGTGGGAAATTGTGTTTTCAAGGCACAATGGAACTCGGTTAAGTGCAAGTAGAGACCAGGCTTTATTCTGTTCAGAAATCTTAATCTCTTTTAACAGCTATGTACGGGGAATTTAAAGAAAAGTCAACAAGTTGTTAATGCCCTGAGGGGAAAAAAATCCAAAATATACAATGGTACAAATACATATTACGTTTTTTCCTGCAAAGACAACTATCTGAGTCTTTGATATTCATATGCACATTCCTCTCTGCATCATATTGTAAAACATTTGCTGCAAATAACTTGAGTTCTAAGCCAACAACACAGCATTGTCTACAATTTCTCTCAT